GATAAAAACTAATTACCAGCATCAGATTTACCTAACATGAATCAATTAGATATACACAGAGAAGAAATACTAAGACTTATGGATGCTCTCTTGAGTGGAATGAGAAATCACTGCACATTAAATAACATGATTAAGCATCTTTTGCAGGATTGATCTATGGAGAAACATTAATAGAGGACAAATTCTGCTTCGGTTGTCACTGTTGTATTTGTTGTGTTTGTGTATGCTTTTGGACTATAGCATTAATAACATAAGCATAAATGCCCATGGCCCATTAGAGCTGGAAACATAGTCTATAAATCTGTCTTTGGAACTGAAAAAGAATAGTTACAAAAGGCTTAAATAAGTAACAATGTTACAAAGAAAAATTGTACAGATATTGCTGTTAAGAATATTTATTTATTTTAACAAGACAAGACGTGAATGAAACAGTGTCGGAAGTGCTACCAGGTATCTTTTATTCATAAATCCCATTTTACATTGTACATTTAGGCACTTTGTTGCTAGCAGCCTATCACAAAAATACATAAATTGTTCCCATTTCTTTAAAATAAAAAAGGTATCGCGTAAAGCAGGCAAAGTGATTCCTAAAACTCGGCAATGCCAACACTCTCAGTCATGGATTGGCTGCCCCAGAACCTGGACATCAACATAATTGAAGCAGTGTGGGTTCCTCTTGACAGAAAACGGAACAAAAGACAGCCAACAACCAAAGAAGAGCTTTGAATGTCCTTCAAGAAGCCTGGAGAACTATTCCCAAAGACTAATTAAAGAAATTATAATGTTTCCCTAAGAGTGTTCCGGCTGTGTTGAAGAATAAGGGTGGTCATACTAAATATTGACTCAATTTTTTTGTATAACCTCCTTTTCTATTTAAAAGTGTTAGATAAAAATATGAAACTACATTGTTGAAGAATGGGAGACCCCATTTTTAGATTCCTCCATTTCCAGATGCTTGTTAAAGTCCCCCACTGCTTACGCAATTGTTTCGTCAAGTTCAAAAAACACACGAAGCTTTGAAGCTGGCAGATTCCTCGGCTGCACAGAATAATTTCTGAAGGTTAATGCTCAAATAATGCTAATTCTTGAATAGAATCGGAAAACTGTATTTTAAATGTTAGGTTAACTGCAAGATAAGTAATGTAATAAAAAAAAGAAAAGATTTACATTTCACATCGCATATAGAAGAGTTCATATGATAGCATAGAAAAGCTATAAAAGAATGTAACTACCATGAATTGTAAATTGTAAATAGATTAACAGAACTAATGATGAATATATTTACTGGTTGCATGCAGTGAATGGTCAACATTTTACATTATGAGAATTATTTGTCTTTTTATGGGTCCAAGCAGTAAAGCTGTAGTAACACAAATGTAATTTGTTCATTTTGTGTTATCATTATTATTCTTCAATAAAAGCGCAACAACACTGCAAAGACCTGGAAAGATAAAAGTTTGTGACATTGTGCCAAATTCCCTCCTCAACCTAGAAACCGTAACCATAGCAGGTACTATAATAACCAGGTTCATGCTTTTAGCAGTCATCTTATTAACATCTGCATCTCTTTGCAAGTTTTTCTAGTGTCCTTTTAAAAATACATTTTCTGAGTCCACATCATCTACAGCATTTGCTGAGTGTAAGTTGTTTAAGAAAATGTCAGCAAGCTATTAATCCACATGTCCACAACATCTAGAAATGTGACTACATTTCTAATTCATAATTAGTTTCAAAAAATAAATTTGTACAAAATTTGATAGGAGTATTTTATCATTTAGAGTATATATATATATATATATATATATATATACATATATATATATATATATAAAACACCCAGCACGCCCCTGCGGGCGGTTTATCCTTCAAGCTCGGGTCCTCTACCAGAGGCCTGGGAGCTTGAGGGTCCTGCGCAGTATCTTAGCTGTTCCCAGGACTGCGCTCTTCTGGACAGAGATCTCCGATGTTATTCCCGGGATCTGCTGGAGCCACTCGCCTATCTTGGGAGTCACCGCACCTAGTGCTCCGATTACCACGGGGACCACCGTTACCTTCACCCTCCACATCCTCTCGAGCTCTTCTCTGAGCCCTTGGTATTTCTCCAGCTTCTCGTGTTCCTTCTTCCTGATATTGCTGTCATTCGGAACCGCTACATCGATCACTACAGCCGTCTTCTTCTGTTTGTCTACCACCACTATGTCCGGTTGGTTAGCCACCACCATTTTGTCCGTCTGTATCTGGAAGTCCCACAGGATCTTAGCTCGGTCATTCTCCACCACCCTTGGGGGCATCTCCCATTTAGACCTCGGGACTTCCAGGTTATACTCGGCACAGATGTTCCTGTACACTATGCCGGCCACTTGGTTATGGCGTTCCATGTATGCCTTGCCTGCTAGCATCTTGCACCCTGCTGTTATGTGCTGGATTGTCTCTGGGGCATCTTTACACAGCCTGCACCTGGGGTCTTGCCTGGTGTGATAGACCCCAGCCTCTATGGATCTTGTGCTCAGAGCTTGTTCTTGTGCTGCCATGATTAGTGCCTCTGTGCTGTCTTTCAGTCCAGCTTTGTCCAGCCACTGGTAGGATTTCTGGATATCAGCCACCTCCTCTATCTGCCGGTGGTACATACCGTGCAGGGGCCTGTCCTTCCATGATGGTTCCTCGTCTCCCTCCTCTTTCTTGGGTTTCTGCTGCCTGAGGTATTCACTGAGCACTCGGTCAGTTGGGGCCATCTTCCCAATGTATTCTTGGATGTTCGTTGTCTCATCCTGGACTGTGGTGCTGACACTCACCAGTCCCCGGCCCCCTTCCTTCCGCTTAGCGTACAGCCTCAGGGTGCTGGACTTGGGGTGAAACCCTCCATGCATGGTAAGGAGCTTTCTTGTCTTTATGTCAGTGGCTTCTATCTCCTCCTTTGGCCAGCCTATTACCCCAGCAGGGTACCTGATCACGGGTAGGGCGTACGTGTTGATGGCCCGGATCTTGTTCTTACCATTCAGCTGACTCCTCAGGACTTGCCTGACCCTCTGCAGGTACTTGGTGGTTGCAGCTTTTCTAGCGGCCTCTTCATGGTTCCCATTCGCCTGCGGGATCCCCAAGTACTTGTAACTGTCCTCTATGTCTGCAATGTTGCCTTCTGGTAGTTCAATCCCCTCAGTTCTGACTACCTTCCCTCTCTTTGTTACCATCCAACTACACTTCTCCAGTCCGAACGACATTCCAATGTCATTGCTGTATAGCCTGGTAGTGTGGATCAGTGAATCGATGTCTCGTTCACTCTTGGCATACAGCTTGATGTCATCCATGTACAGGAGGTGGCTGACAACTGCTCCGTTCCGTAGTCGGTATCCGTAGCCAGTCTTGTTAATGATCTCACTGAGGGGGTTCAGGCCTATGCAGAACAGCAGTGGGGACAGAGCATCTCCTTGGTAGATCCCGCACTTGATGGTGACTTGTGCTATGGGCTTGGAGTTGGCCTCTAGTGTTGTACGCCACATCCCCATTGAGTTCCTGATGAAGGCTCTTAGGGTCCCATTGATCTTGTACAATTCTAGGCATTCCAGTATCCAGCTGTGGGGCATTGAGTCATAGGCCTTCTTGTAATCAATCCAGGCAGTGCACAGGTTGGTCAGTCTGGTCTTGCAGTCTCGGCTGATTGTTCTGTCTACCAGTAGCTGGTGTTTTGCGCCTCTGGTATTCTTGCCAATTCCTTTCTGTGTCCCGCTCATGTATTGACCCATGTGCCTGTTCATCTTAGCCGATATGATGCCTGACAGGAGCTTCCATGTAGTACTGAGGCAGGTTATTGGTCGGTAGTTGGAGGGGACCGGTCCCTTCTTGGGGTCCTTGGGGATCAGGACCGTCCGGCCTTCAGTTAGCCATTCCGGGTGTCTCTCGTTAACTAGCAGCTGGTTCATTTGTGCTGCCAGACGCTCGTGGAGTGCAGTCAGCTTCTTCAGCCAGTAGGCGTGAACCATGTCGGGCCCTGGTGCTGTCCAACTCTTCATACTGGAGACCCTTTCTTGGATATCTGCCACTGTGATGGTTACTGGACCCTGTTCAGGGAGGTCGCTGTGGTCTGCCCTCAGATCCTCTAGCCACTGAGCATTGCCGTTATGGGTTGCATCCTTCTCCCATATGCTCTTCCAGTATTGCTCCGTCTCCAGCCTTGGTGGTGCTCTTCTCTTATTGTTCCCTTGCCACTGAGAGTATATATATATGTATATATATATATATACATATATATATATATATGTATATATATATATATATATATACATATATATATACATATATATATATACATATATATATATACGTATATATATATACATACATATATACATATATATATATATATATATATACATATATATATATATATATACATATATATATATATATATATATATATATATATATATAATATATATATATATATATATATATATATACACACATAGAATTCAGTCATTTTTAGTTTTTAAGAGATTTCTATAATATTTGTGCGTGTGTGTGTGTCTTTTGCATTGTGATATGGGGATAAAGGCACGAATATAATACAATATAACTTTTTTCTCGACTAAATAAAAACGCCCATGTGAACTTGCATATGTACATCTGTAACTTGGACTTGAATGACGCAAACATTATTCACATGAGTCCTATGTGACAGTACCTAAAAACACCAGCAGTGGTCACTGGCAAACTTGGAAGTCCATGGCGCTTGTGATCAGAACATGGCATATGGTGTTTGTCAGTCATCCTGTTACCAGAGCAAGTAAGGACAACACACAGCAGGGGTTGAGTTGGGCATCGCTGGATGTCTGCCTTCTCAACTACATCCCGTTATTGCAGGTCCACACTCCGTTAAATGACGTAGTGCGACTGAAGAGCAGATCAGCATGCTTAGATCAGGGTTTTAATGAGAGGACCTTAGGGTTTTCCGCTGAGGCTGACAAAAGCCAGGTGGAGAGTTATTAAGGGGCAAAGGTAGCCAAGTAGAGATGTTCTCTACCAGTATAGCCCTATATGCCTAGGCCCTTTTCATCTTTAACCACCAGCTGCTCTGCTGCACTCAGGCCTCAAACACAGGTAAGGAAGTTTCTCTGTATTCCCTCAAGATTTTCACTGTTAAAATTTATGTGTATAATAACCAGGATGAAAATAAAGTGTGAGCAGAATCTATAACTCAACCCATCTACTGTGCCAAGGAGCCTGGCACAAGGCCGAGAGGGATAGAGGAGTGGCGGACCCGATAGAGTGTTCTGCCAATGCTGTAATGTCTGGCACAGGTGCATTGTTAAAGACACTGTTAAAATGATTTATTTTCAATCCAATAATCTGCAGTACATTATATGATGTCCACAAAAGGTCTATATAGTTTCTAAATGACTGCTAAATATGTTTTTCACCTTGAAACAGAAGCTGAACTTCAAACGTGCAAGAATATCCATCACAAATAGGATTTAACTAATATCACTTCTGTAATACTGGACAAATCATCTCCACTCTTGAGCACTGTAACTGCTAAGCTGGACAGCAAGGTGTGGGCTGACCTTGAGGATACACTGACAGTATCCACATTGGTGATTCTGGGGCATATTCTTTCTAGCTTTGATGGGGCCATCATAAAATCTGGCTCAACTGGGGATAAAAGTAAAGCAAACGGACTGAAAACAAAATCAATTTTCAATCTACTTCAACAGAGGCTGTGCAGAAATAACATTAGGCTCAACTTTGGGTGACTGAAATCTAAAAAAAAACTAAAAAGGAAAAAAAAATATACCTATGAAACTTAGAACATTACAAAAATATTACATTTTTGGGGGTGATTTTCTATTTAGAAAAAGATTATCACTATATGTTGCATTAGCCTTGTGAAAAACAGAGTGAAGACCAAGTGCGTCATCAAGATGTAACATTTCAAATGATCCTCTTTTCTCAAACAATGAAAATTTGGAGAATACGACAACTCTTCCACAGATCTTGTTTTTCAAATGGCATTTCCATCAAAGAATGCAGTATTAGCTTTTCCCCCCCTCTCCCTCCTTTCTAAATTTTGAGTTGGGGTATTGCCACGTGCCTCATCTTTGCAGCTATTAGGTAGAATCTCACAAGAAGTTATTAACAGAAAATGCCAGGAAAAGTCATCATTCGGCATCACTTCATGCTCTTTCACTCCTCCAAACCTTCAGGCATTATGTATTAATAACTGAATTCACTTTTACACTTTTCTTTGAAACCCAACACAATAAAAATCTGAATAGCTTTCAAATGTTTGTGTATGAAGTCCTCTTTTTTGTCCTTTGTTCAAGCGGTCTCCCTCGTATGGCCAGGGTATCATGGGCAGTGTCCATGCTGTTACTGCTGATGCTCTGCTCTCCAGGGGGGTCTTCGGTCCCCCTCAAGCATCTGTGTGGTTCCCACCTGGTGGACGCCCTCTACTTTGTGTGTGGAGAAAGGGGCTTTTTCTACAATCCGAGCCGGACCCACAAGCGTGATGTGGAACATCTGCTCGGTAAGACCACCGTTCTGCTTCTCTTTTTTTTTGACTTGTGTAAAATAAGCTCTAATTGTCCCCTTGATGGTGGGAGTTCAGAAAGGAACAGCATGACATCACCCCAAGACCCCAGTGGTGCTTTGTGTGTCTAGTCTCTGAACACAGTGTTCAAAGTTCAGACTCAGTCTAATGAAAATGCCAAATTGGATGCTAGCTGGAAGAAAAATGTTTAGGGACAACATGCTGAAAACTTTACAGAACTATATCAATGTATTGAGTCATCATTAGTGTGCAAAGCCTAACTCCAGGCTCCTCTGAGTTCAGTGGTGTAGCCAGGCTTGTGGTTTGTAGCTTTCAACATCTATGCTGTGACAAAACCAGTTGATCAAAATTGTGAAATCGCTAAATTATTCATTATGTTATTTCTAGAAACTTTTTTGGATCTTCCGCATCAAACGCTCTATTGATGTTTCGACGTTAACATTAGGGGTGTAAGCTATGATATGCCTCCGTTAGCGCTCCATCATATCTCCTCTTGAAGTACAGACTAACAAGACTAAATGGATTGGGGAGATCAGATTAACTAGCCATTAAGTCTCCATTAAAGTGTGAACAGTAAATGGTATTTTGCGGAACTGGAGATTTGCACAGCAGCATCAGGACTTAACACAGGGCTGTGGAAACTTTCTCCACTTCAAAGGGTTCCTGTCTAAAAGGGCCAGACAGGACCAGCGACTGTGGAGGGCTTTGTCGGGCCGCGACGAGCCCAAAGTGAAGAGAGGGATCGTGGAACAGTGCTGCCACAAGCCGTGCAGCATTTACCACCTGGAGGGCTACTGCGACTGACTCGCCACTTCAGGAGCACCACTCATAGCCTGTAAAAAGGTCCCGAAGTCAATTTCTGGCCTGATACTTGCTGGCTATGTCTTATCAACTGAAGGAAATAAAGCTTCCTGACCCATAACCCAAGGCTCTTCTCTGCAAAGATGTGAATTTGTGTTTTTTTTGTCGCTCATATATAGTGCAGCTGAAACATGGGCTGTGGTAGCCTTTTGCTGTACTCCAACCTGTGGCTGCAGTCCTAGAGTGCTCTCTTCTGGCTAAGGATAGACATGGCCAAAATGATCCAAATGAGAGAAAAGAAAAAAGCTCCTTATAAAGCATTTCTACACCTAGCATGTGAATAGGTCTCAAGAACGATTGGGCACAAGAAGAGTATTAAAATTTGTCTTTATTTACAGAATAAGACAGAGCTTTTCCCCATGAGATAATTACTACAACCCTAAGATTAATGAAAAAGATTAAAATTCAGTTAGCAAAATGCACCTTGGATTTTTAGCCAGTTATACTTTTGATCTCCAATTGTTAGCATCTAAGACTTTATTCCATCTTTTACCTCATTAAGTTTAAACAGTTTTTGTTAAAAAAATAAAAAAAAAATCCAAACAAAATGTACACACTAAAACAAAAGGCTGTAAAACCTCAGTTTACACTCTCATAACCCACAGATACTAGATCTCAGAAAAGTCTCTTGGCAGCACTGCTAGCAGAGTCCTAAAGCCCATAATGGTTTCCTAACAAAACAAACAGAGAATCAGAGTTTTAAAAACACTTTAGGAGTTACATAAAAATGAGACTCATCCACAAAAAAAAAAGTCATAGTTCATCTCATCATTCCTTCAAGGTTCTGGCCAGATGAAAGTGCTTACAGTCTTTAAGCGGCTCAGACGTTTCAGTTTGCCTGTTCTCCTTATCATGTTGGAAAGCTTTGCTGGGGTCAAACCTGCGGCGAGGCGCACCGGGGAGCTTTGACTTCACTTGCTCCAGATCAGTCTTTAGCCAGCTCACCTGAGAGCGAAGCTTAGACACCTCCTACACACACACGAAAAAAAAGGGAAAATAAATAAATAAAAAGAAGGTGGGGAGGGTGTAGTGTAGAGGCATGTTAGCTTGAAATGATGTCTGCGTTTTGGAAGGCAGGCAATTCTGCATCACGTTTTACCTGTTTCAGAGAGATGTTCTCATCCTTCAGCTTCACCACGTGTTTGATCTTCTGCTTCTGGTTCTGGTGTCCCAAGAGGCGAGCGTAAGCGTCAGCCAGTTTGTTTAATTCCTCCTGGTTTGCCCCGTTCTCATTAAGTAGTGCATTTCGCTCTGCTGCAAAGGCATTGAGCTGTTCCTGCAGACACACATTAATTAGTTTTCACTATTATTCTGATAACTGTGTGTTCACAGAAATGTTATGACATCAACATTCATTTTGATTTGACCACTTGATGAATACACATCTCCACTCTTCAAATCTTCACCAACTTCTGGGAAAAAAAAAAAAAAAAAGTCTTGCCTTTTAGTTGCTTAAAAGCACTTCAATCGGTAAGACTAGAAAAGTACTGTGCAAGTACTGCTCCATTCACTGCTAAAAACCTCCACTTTTTTCCTCTCAATCACCTTCTTCACCAACTGTGTCTGTGAGCCATTTGATGCTGGGTGAATAGAGTAAATTGGGATTATTAGAACTCTGGAGCTCCAAAGAGAGTGTGTAGAAGTACTGAAGCTGTTAATTGAGCTGAAGACAACTAAAAGACAGCCTGAACAGCAGAGGTGGGTGAGAAATATCTGCGGGTTCATATGTGGCAGTTTTATTTTGCTGGTAAGATAAACATAAAGTGCATGCACCCTGTCAACTAAACCAATTAAACAAGGAGGGGTTTTTCTGTTATTAATCTAAAAATACTAATTAGTCCAACTTTAATGAAAACGTGTGTGGGTTTCTATGAGTTGTCATAAAAATAAATCACAGACCTGGAAGGGCTTGACTTTGGCAAACAGCTCCTCATATTGTTTCTTCCAGTGCTCAGTCTCTGAACTTGAAGAACTTAAAAGAAAGTATATGATGAGTTAAAAAATGCACAAATTGTAACAGCAAAAACCTCCGGAGGACACACAAAGATCAACCTCTCTCACCTCTTCTCTTGTGCTTCAGTTATTTGTCTTTGCAGTTCCTGCCGCTGCTCCTCCAACTCCCACTGCAGCGTAACCTTCTCCTGAGTCAGTACTTTTACCTGCTCTCTTATAGCTCGTCCGTCTTGTCGCACCTCATCCAACACGAGCTGCAGAGCTTGTGTTTTCTCTTCTGCGAGGCCTAATTGGGCCCGGAAGCTCTCGGTTTCTTGTTCAACCTCATCCAGGTGAGACTGAAGCAGATTTCTGGCCTGCTCGGCCGTGCTAAGTTGATTTTCAAGATCCACCTTAGATTGGTCTCTGAGCTCTACCTGAGACAGTAGACCTTTCCTTTCCTCCTTTAATCTCTCGAGCTCAGTCTGTAGTATGATCACCTCTGACCTTAGCTGCTGGTGGTCTTTCCTTTCAACCTCACATGCTTCCTTCTCCTCCTGAAGGGCGATCTGAATTTTAACCTTCTCCTCTCTTTCTTGTTTGAGCTGTGTCGTCATTTCCTCCTTTTCCCCACTGATTTCCTCCAGCAGTTTCTGGGCTTTTTCCCTCTCTTTTTGGAACTGAGCTACACTCTGACCTCTCTCTTCCCCCAGTTGTCCCAGTGCGTCTTCTTTCTCCTTTTTCTGCAGCTGTACCTCCTGCTGTAGCTGACTGATCTGAACAGCGTGGCTCGCCTCCACGGCCTTCATCTCATCATCTTTTTGTGCAAGGCAAGCCTGCACCTCCAGCAACATTCTACAAAGTCAAAGAGAAAGGTAGAAAAGTGACAACTTTAGCAAAGGTAGAAATTTTGTTTTAAAAAAAAAATAAAAAAACTTTTTTTTAGGATACCTCAAAATCTGCTCGCTGGCTTTCACTCCAGCTAACTGTATCGCCTGCTGCTCTTTTAACCATTCCCTGACTCTCTTGATCTCCTCCTCCTTCTGTTGAAACCCTGTGAGGATCACCTCCTTAATTTCAAGTTCTAGCTCTCTCTGCCTTTCCTTTGCTTCCTTTAAAGCCTCTCTGGTACTGAAAATTAAAACGAGCATCCCGTGAAGCCCACGCTCTGGCAGAAATCCACATTTAAAGCAAGCACAAATCAAACTGGCTTTTCAAGAGACACATCCAAGAACTACAGACGCTTGAGCGCTCACCTTTCCAGCTCCGTGACAGTTTCTGCCATCTTGCTCAGGGACTTTGTGTGCGCCTCTTCAAGCACTCTCACAGCAGCTAAATGCTCCTCTTTCACAGCTGCCATGTCATTGCTTTTACTTAAAAAAAAAAAAATAATAATAATAATAATAATAAGACACATTGTCAGTTTACGTTCCTAAAACACCCAATTCACTATAACAATTGACAGAAGTATCAAAAAATATACAAAATCAAATAGCAGTGGTCACATAATGCATCAAGTAACACTGCATTTAGAAAAACAGATGAGACAGTTTTTCAAACTTTTTCTTCCTCAACTTCCTAAAAACATTAATAAATTACTGTATCTTTGGGTTTGGATTTTTTTTAAAAACACATAAATAAATAAATAATAATATTGGAAGATATAGTGGAATAACTGTGCTCGCAACAACAGCAGGGGTTGTTGCGAGCACACATCTACGGTCTACGTAACGAGGTGATCTGGGGTGAATACTTCAACTTTCATAAACTATTCGCTTCATGTTGCCTTGTGAAAACCCGTCCACTGGGATTTCCTCCTGATGCCACTGACTATCACAACTGGAGGAAGAGCTTACTGATGCTATTTGAAGAAAACTGGAGCTCTATGGTTTAACTTCACTTTTATGTAGTGTTAACGGAGTGAACTTGTACAAATGTAAGTGGAATAATAGGACTTTCTGTTTTCTCATGAAACTGCTCCCTTAATTTCATTCCAATTACCTTGTCGGCTGCAGCGAATATTCTCGTGTTGCCAAACTTTTATTTGTGTTTGGTGCGAACAAACCATAAGAGAATTAGTCTATGGTATGGAATAACCTTGAGTCGTAATAAAATCTTCGCTTGCAGCCCTAGCTACAAGGTGCACATCATCAATATTAAAGTGACGTGGCCCTCCAAACCTCTTACATTTACCAGACTCAAAAAGAGAAAAGAAAGAAAACATGGTCACCAAGTGCCCTCCTTTCTTTATACACCAAGGATGAAGTCAGTACATTTGGAAACTTTAAATTGGTCTAAAACAGAGACAGTGACCCACTGACTCCGTCATGCTTGTGATGGACTGATGCACAGCAATTATTTTCTCCCCGCTTTATTTACAGTGCATGCCAGGACATGCTGCCAGTCTAGTGGGTCAAAAATAGTAACACATGGGCAGTGACACCCATCAGTTTGCTTGCCCTTTGGTTGCTCACCTCTCCAAAAGTGCTTCTGTATCACTCAGCTGTCTCTCCAGCTGCCTTTGGAGGGTCTCCCGACTCTCTGTCATTTCCTGATTATTCTGCTCCTGTTCTTCCATAAGGGCAAGCTCTCCCAGGACCTCCTCCATCTCTTCCTTTAGCTGTCTGAACCGATTCTCAGAATCCTCTCGCACCTGCTCCACTAGCACAGATAGGGAGTCCACTAATGACTGCAGGGAGAGGTGAAAAGACAAAAAAAAAGAAACAATAAGTTACAGCTTAAAAGTTATTGCACTGAGTTTTGGTTAACAAAAAACAACAGCAAACCCAACAGACAAGAAAAAGTTTGTCTCACCCTTTCCTTTGCCAGTTCCTCAGTAAGCTTGGCATGTTCTTCCTGGAGCTCAGTGCATCTCTTTGTCTCCTCTTTTTTAGCCTCCTTTAGCAAGCCCAGCTCCTTCTTCAACTCTTCCACCCTCCTTAGTCCCTCCTCCTGAGTCTTGCCTAAGATATATAAAAACAAGAACTTCACAAACCTGGAATTATTTTCTGTACCTTGAATAGCCAAAGCCACTGGCTCAGGATGAACATACTTCTCTCTTCCTCGGAAAACAGACACCTCTGTTCAAGATGCGCCACTCGCTCATCCAGCTCCTTCTCCGTTCTCCGGAGCACCTC